GGCTGGAAGATTTAATCTGCCAATTGTTCAATTTTATTTACTTCTGGTGCAGTATAGAAGGCGCCATAAAAATACTAGGGTGACCGGACTGTTTGCCATCTTCGGTAGAGTTTGATTAGATGCTTTGATCCAGTAATATTTATTGCCAGACAGTATTCCCCGAGCCACGTTCAGGCTAGACAGTTGCGCCTTCTGATCGGGATGAGCGCTGGCTTTGGTGTTTCGAACTCTCCAAACGGACGCTCAAAACTTCCCCCTTGCTTTGAGTGATGGGGTAATTTCTAAATCTGAAGCAGTTCTTTTACTGAAATCGTGGCTCACTCCTTAGTCAGACTAAAAATCGTACGAGATCGTCTCCTTGCGGAGGTGTCAAGTAATTCACTTCAAATACTTGAGACTTCATGTTGTGGGGTTTTCAACAGCATTCAAGGAGCCCATTAGACAGCTGACTGTATGAGGGCCCCCTACCCTGTAACTCTGGTTAGCGCAATGTCAGATGTACGACAGAGAAATGGCAGCAGGTGACAGGCTGGTGAATATTCCCATTAAACGCAAACCAAAGTGACCTCTTCCCAAGGTTTCTTGAATTTCCACTTAAGGTGTATATAATTACTACCTTGTTAAGGTAATTTTTAGGACACAGCCTGCCGTTTTTGAATATGACAGGAATCAGCCATCTCCCGTAGTTTCCTGGTTTTTTTCTGGCATAAAACACATCAGTGTGTAAAAACTGATTGTTCTGATGGGGAAGTTAGCGAAAATTCGGAGAAGACAGCCGAAAGTCATACTTTTAACGAAACTCCCTGACATCTTAACCCAATGGGCGGTTTTGAGAGCAGAAGTAGGAAAAATAATTTGGTCTTTCATGAACCAGCCTCTGCACGTGCGACGCGTTATGCGACGATGTGTTTCAGGATAAACGCTGACGCAGATAAAAGGGACCACGACTGTGAGAAGCCTTCTGCGGCTAGCAAGCGATGCATCAGGAGACTTTACTGACAGTTTTGTATGCAAGCAGGTCTAGAAAGTTCAAATAAAAATCAGCTGAATCCCACAGTCAGGGCTTATGTGGATGAATCTGAGACTTTCATCCAGTTTTCCTACCGCAGTCTCAATCGTCGCAGTTACTAAAGATCCTTTAAACTACGATAGAGTATTTCTGAGAAGGCGATGGGTTTTTAGGCTCTTACACAAGTTGCAGCCGGTGGCTTCTTGCAATAACTTCAGAATCTTCCGTAGTGTCAGAGACCTTGAGAACTTTTCATTGCTTGTGCTAAACCTCAAATGGTCACTGACTGTTCTTTCTGTATCTGCGTGACTTTGAGTGACGGTGAAGTAGCCATTAGCTCAGATGAGATGGCATAATCTCAAGTAGGCCCACATCGACGATTGATTGGTTCGTTCTCAAGTGACTATGCGCTTTGCAAGACTCTTTTATTAGCAGATACGCTAGCAGTGCCTTGAATTATGACCCACAGGAAAGCTATGCGTCTGTTAGTCATGCCAACTGCGAGCGGAATTGC